TCAACATTGTCCAAAACTAACCTAGGGATGTATGAAATATTGTTCAAGATAAGACTCATCTATATCACACACTAATGCGCACTACCCAATATGTACATTGTTCAAGACCAACATCGAAATATTGTTTAGGATGAGATTACTCTTACCATATATTGTGAAGGTGTCAGCAAAAAGTAATTGTCAAAATTTAATCCCCAAATATCAACGATTCAAATTTAACACATATTGCCCAATATGTACATGGTCCAAGACCAACATTGAAATACAGTTCAAGATAAGATTCTTTTGTACCATATATTGTTCAAGGTGTCTGCAAAAAGTAATAGTCAAAATTGAACCTCCAAAGATCAATGATTCATATTTAACACATACTACCCAACGTCAAAGTCAAGCCATCATTACGTTGTCTAAGCCCCAACTCAAAATACAAAGTACAATAATTTATTATGTGGGCTATATAATACAATAAATGACATATATAAATTCAGGTTTGGTTTCATAAAAAATTCGTTCACTCATCTTGTCTATCAACACTCATATCCAATATTTGTGTTATTCTTCTTTTTACTCTTTAAATGGAGGAATTTGACGTCACAAATATTGAAAATTTTGATAACTCTTATCATGTAGCAGTGTTTGCAAATGGGAAAATCACAACAAATGAGGAAGGGGTGTACTTTCAATGTGCATCTCCTAAACTTTTTCGAATTATACACAGTTGCACATTTATCATTTTGAAGAAAAAAAATATGCATTTCTTTAGAGATTTCTGTAGGCACCTCAATCAACAGGTTGTATTATTGTCCACCAAAACTAACAAGTGATGGTTTTATTATATATGATGCTACTGAACTATTTGATAATGCTTGGTTGTTAAATAACTCACTTCTTGGTCTTTGACCCCCTCAATCACTACGAACGCCCTTGATCAGTACAATGAGATGTGTTTATTTATCTATCTCTCTTTACTCGAAATGGGGGGAGCTTGTTTGAAAATGTATCTAACATGATTACTTGGAAGTTACAATTCTTTTTAGATACTGTCATTGAATTATATGTTTAATATACAATATCCATTGATGAAATAATTATGCTTTTAAACCCTCATGTTTCTACCTTTTCCACAAACTCAAACAACATCCCTTTCTCTGAAGCTATAATTTACTTTGGTGGGCTTGTTCAATGTGCAACCATCATGGAAAATCAAAATGATTTTGGTCTTACTTATATATGTTTAAACCCTAGAACAATGGTAATCAAACATACATGGTCTTTTGCTCAACTATATGAAAATATTACTCAAGTACTTCACTATGGAAATCGCAAACAAAATTTTGAAATCAACTACCGTTGTTCAGTTCAGGTGTGAAACTATAAGATCATTCACGACTCAGTACAGATAGAAATTGATGCTGATATGGCCCAAATAATCAACTGCTGGAAAAAACACACAATCTTTACACCCAACTGTGCAACGTGAACAAAGATGAGGAAATATTGAATTGTTTGTTCAAGCTAAGACTATACGAATGACAATATCTGACAAAATCATTCGTAACTTAGAAGATAGTACATACGTTGACAAACACAAGATAACAATGTCTACATTTGCTTCGCGATTTATAATATACGATTATTCAATTACTATCTATTTTGTATTATTTCTAATTTAGTTGGATTTCATATTGACATGTATTGTTTCAATTATACACCATTAACTATGATATTTTAATATTTTATATCATAAATATAAATATCTATAAATACAAAAATATAAATAATATAAAAATAAATACAAATATATATATATATATATATCTTTATTAAATATACAATAATTTGTATATCTTTATTAAATATATTATTATATAAATCAATATTTATTAAATTTATTTAAATATTAAATCTATAATCATGTAATTTATTTCTATTTTTCTATTTTTTTACATCAAAGTTATTATTAAATAAATTATTATTCATACAATATCTTATATAAATTTATTTTATATTTATTAATCCTATAAATTATCAATTTTTTTCTTCAAATAATTTATATTAAATAAAATTTAAATATTATATATATATATATATTAAATATATCTATATTTATTATATTTATAAAAATATATTAAATATATAATTATATAAATATATTTCTATGATATAATTATATAAATAAATGTTTAAATTATATTAATATATATATATATATATATAGATTGATTTATAAAAATATATATAAATATATTAAACATATAATTATACAATATATTTTTATTATATATAAAATTATGTATTTATATTTATTATATATTATATTTGATAAAGTTATAATATATATATATATATATATATATATATATATTATATTGAATAAAGTTATAATGTATATAATAAAAAATATAAATATGTATTTATCATATTTATAAAAATATATATAAATATATTAAAATATAATAAAAAAAATATTTATATATTTCTATAAAAAATATTATTTTTATTTACTAAAATTATTTTATATTAAAAATATATTTAAATAATATATATAATTTGTTTATGTAAAAATGATATGTAAAAGATATAAATAGACATGTATTTATGATATTTATAAAAATATAAATAAATATTTAAATATTATATATATATATATATATATATATATTAAATATATGTGTATTTACTATACTTATACAAATATTTTAATAATATAATTATATAAATATATTTTTATGTTATATAAAAATATATATTTATATTTATTTCATATAATTATATGAATAAACATTTTAAATATATATATATATATATATATATATATATATATATAAATTAAATAAAAATTAAATTTGGTATTTTTTTCATTTATTTATAGTAAACATCATATTTATTTTTTATACAATTTTTTCATTTATACATTTTTTTTTCTTTTTCCTATTTTTATCTTTTACTTTTATTATTTACATGTTTTTCTGTTTTACAATCTTATCTTATAAGATAAAAATTTCTGTAGTTTTTTATTTATTTTTTAATAATTTCATCTGTAATATAAAATTTGTAATTCTTTATTTTTTATTTTTTTTAGTTTTGTTGTCTTTTATTCAAGAAGGCGCTAAAAAAATAAATAAGATGTCTCATAATAAATTTATTTAAAATAAACAAATTAACATATGTAATATAATATAAAAAATATTTCGTATTAATATTTATTATTTTTGTTTATTATTATAATAAATTAGTATATAATATAAAAATATAATATATTGATATAAATTTTTTATTTATTATAAATTAATTAATTTTTTTCTCTATTTTAAAAATGGCTAATGGTTTAAAATCAATCTATTATTTATAAATAATTAAAATTTAATTAATTCAAGATAAAATTAAGAAAATTAACTAATTTTTTTTATAAATAAAAAAATTTTAAAAAAAATTTAATATATTTTTTTTATAAAAGATATAATAAAATTTAACTTTTTTTAATTACATATTAATTACATTAATTTTAAATAATATATATTTTTTATTTTAATTTTATTTTAATTTTATTTTAATAATTATTTATCTCATCTCTTTAATATATTTTATATTTATAATATACAATATGACTCTAGTCTTTTATATAATGACTGTAATATATTTTATGTTATATTATAAAAATATTATTTTAATAAATTTAGTTATTTTACTGAATATTTAAACAAATATGATTAGATTTCAGTGAAATTTTTTAAAATCTTAAATATATATGTGTTTAACCATTGAATGATTGATTTAATTTTAAAAAATATTAATTATTTTAATATTTTATTTAGATAGGTGTTAATCTATAAACAAAATTAATTTTAGTTTTAAAAATATTTAAAATAAAATTATAAATTATAAAAAATATATTTTTTAAAATTTAAATTTAATTAATAATACAAAATATATAATAGATTTATTTTTATATCATAATTATTTTTTATATATTTAACCCTTATTTAAAATTTATTATTTCACCTTGTCTTATATAAGTGGTGACCAAGGAATTGATTTTATGGAGAATACATTTGCAGAGTGAGTGATAGGAATATGAACAATATGTAGATCTGGAGATAGAACCTTCTCTCATCAAACTTTGGCAAAGAGAAGGATATGTGGCTCTTCATTTTGGAGCAGTCAGGCTGGTGCTGACCCTTCATGAAAGAAAAGGCTTGCCGGTAACCGCTAGAGTCTCTCTAATAGACTCAACGTTCCAAAAATATGAACATGCTGTTATTGGAACAGTCTTGACTACGTTAAACTCAGGAAGTGTAGTTTTGACCATGTTTCCAAACTTTTGTGTACAACTAAAAGACCCAACTCTTCCAAAGAGATTCCGGGTACAAGTCCAGATTGTCGGAGCACCACAGGATGAAAATGCTATGGCAGCCACTCTTCATCACCAGCTGATCTTCAGAATCCAAGACCACTGTTATGATCTACCAACAGAATCGCCATTTGCAGAAAATGCTCTAATGGTGATCTCAAACACTGAAGAACATACTCCTTCCATAATCCAAATCCCCAGACAGATCCCTCGGGAAGAGCTCGAACAACTAATCCCTAGAGAATGGATTAGTAATTATGAAAATTTCAAAAGGAATCAATCACCAATCATCAAGACGGATCATGCATTCAAAAGACTTCCAGACGGAACAGTAAAAACCATCTTCAAAAGGAAAAATGATGAAGAGTCATCATCTTCAACGGTCTTCACAACCATGATGATTACTTTGGGAGATAAAGAAAGAAAGATTCCTGTACATTCTTTTAGACCAGATGGAAAACCCATTTATTCAGATAAAATAAATGGACATTTCATGTGGGATGTAAATCCAGACATGTGTGACCCAGGATGCCCTTGCACAGAAACATCTGATGATTCTAGTGATGATGATGATTCAGAAGAAGAAGAAGACAGTGACGATAATGATGAAGAAACTTTCAAACCTCCTCCTAATCCTGATCATCCAAGAATGGTGACTTCTCGCCAACCACTGCCAATATATGAAATGATTTTAAAAGCCTTGAAAGAAAATTATGAGCACTACTGCCAAGAAAAAATGACAAAAGCACCTCAGCAGACTCAATGTTGTATGATGTTGTCTTCTGAAGAAGAATTTCCTAGTCTGCGTCGAGCCAATCCACAAGAAGAAACTGTAATGAAACCTTTCATCTATAGCAGAGAAATGACAGCAGAAGGATCAAAGAAACCTATCTCTCAGGCAGAAGAAGTGCTAAACTGGCAATCAAAAAATGCTTTAGCCCAGAATAGCTTACTACAAAAAATTGAAAGAAAAATGGATAAAATTGAATTGTCCATAGAAAAAGAGATCGGAGGCATGAATTCCAGGCTACAAAAGCATTATACAGAATTGAAAGAGAAGAGAGAAAGACTTGAGGAGGAGACAAGAAAAATTAAAGAAACAAGAAGATTCAACAACCTGCTCATTGAAAAAGAAAGAGAGTTACAAAAAACCAGAGACAATATGAAGAACTTGTCCACTATGTAGAAGAAAAGAAGAGGATTCCCATCTTCGAGGATGAACCTTACTATTTAAGGCCATCAAAAGTATTTCCAACGATTTCAAGACAATCTCTTAAACCAACCCCACTTTTTCCCCCAAAAGACTCTCCACAAAGACACAGAGATTGGTTTAAGGAAAAGAGAAAAGAGAAAGAATCTGAAAAAGAAATCTCTCCTGAACCTACACCTGAACCTTCTCCTAAGAAAGCTGAAGTCTCTTCTGATGAAAAAGTTTTTCAAGATGCCCAAGACCCTTATTCTCAGTACACAGTTCATCATATCAGTTCTCATCCTGAACAGAAGACTAAAGGCCAGTCAGATGATTCAATTACTTCTTCTGATGAAGAATCAGTAGAATCTTTTGAAGCAACCACTGAAACAGAAGAAGTAGAAGTGAACAATACTTTTATGGCAAATGATACAGATCAACCTTTTGCTGATAGAACAAGGCTGCATAATCAAGAAGTTAACACTCCGCATCCAACCAACAACATGCTATTCACAATTGACAACCTTCCCCCATCTCAATGGAGAAAAAAATTTCTAGACTTCAAAGCATGGTTAGATACAAAAATGGTGAACCCAGGAGCAGACAAATACAAAGTCATAGAAGAATTCTGTGCAGGAATGACAGGAATTCTTAAAGAATGGTATATCACCCTGGGAACAGTCAATCAAGAAAGTCTTCATAATTCTACCATTGAAGAAGTTATTGGGGCATTACAATTTCATTTCCTAGGAAATGCGACATTGTTGGACCAAGAATCCAGAAGGGAATTCTTCGAAATGAAATGTTGTTCCTTAGAAAAGAAAGACCTTGACAAACATTATCTAAGGATGTCTCAAAGGTTTTATCAGCTCAACGGAGTCAATGATCCCAGCCTAAAAAACACTTTTGTAAGTTCTCTTCCAGAAGAATTACAAGATGAAATGTGGAGGATACTTCAACAAACAAATAAAGAAATCTTGCAGATGACTATGGGAGAAATCTATCAAACTTGCATTGTTGCTAAAGAAAAACTATGCAGTCAACAAAAGATGTTCAACAAGATGACATCAGATCAAAAGAAATATAAGAAAACCTGCAAGAAGAAATATTTGCAGATCCAATGCAAAGAAGATGGTTGTTATTGCAAAAACAAAAAACAAAAAAGGTTTCCTCCCAAAACCAAATTCAAGCTGAAGAAAGGAAAGAAATACAGATTCTTCAAGAAAAAAACCCTTCAGAGGAAAAGGAAACAATTTGAGATGTCATATCTGTAAACAGAAAGGACATTTTGCAAAGAATTGTCCAAACAAAAGAGAAAAATCGGCGAAGCTGACAGAACTCTTCTTAACCAGAGAAGAAGATGATCTAGAATCACTATATGAAGAACAACTAGAACCAGATGACCAAACAGTGTTTGCCATTGCTGATTCAGAAGAAAGTTCAGAAGAATCCAACAGTGAAGAATATTTTCCTGTGTTAAAAATTCAAGAAGTCAACACCATAGAACCAGAGATTCCTTCTCTTCCCAATGCAGAAATATCCATTCTTCCCTCCAAATATGATGTTCCAATCAAATCTATAGGATTCATTGATACTGGTTCAACAAGGACGATGATGAATCCTATAATTCTTCCAGCTAAATTATGGACAAATAATATCCATAAGTTTAGAGCAGCAAATGGAGAAGTATTCCAGACAACTTTGATAACCAAGCAGAAGGTGGGAATTCAGTTTTTCCCTGGCTGTACAGTCTGGATAAAGGTGATCGAAAGTGATAAACATGGAAAAGATATTCTGATAGGAAGAGATGTTCTAATTCAAATTCGAAAATTGCAGATATTATCCGATGGTCTCAAGTTTAAAAGGTTAACAAAACCTTTTGTGCCAATCCCAAACTTATTTACATTGGCAGATGTTCCTCCTGGATATGAAGAAATCAGAAACAAATTACTCAAATTATGTGCAAAAAGTCATAATCTTTTCATGCATCCAAATCCTTTATGGAAAAGAGAAGAGTTCTTTGTTACACTTCCTTTCAAGAAGAGTGAAGATGTCAATCCAACTAAAGCAAGCCATCCAGGAATGAGTCCATCAGATTATAAGGCAGCCCAAGAAGAATGCCAACAATTATTAAAACAAGGCCTCATTGAGCCTACAAAATCAGATTGGGCCTGTCCAGCTTTTTACGTCAACAAAAGGTCAGAACAAATTCGACAAAAGAAAAGACTTGTTATTGATTACAGATCATTAAACCTATTCATCAAGGATGACAAGTTTCCATTACCCAAGATCTATTCTCTTCACTCCTACATCAAAGATGCCTACTTTTTCTCAAAGTTTGACTTAAAGTCAGGATTCTGGCAATTGGGCCTTGATCCCAAAGACAGATCCAAAACAGCCTTCAGTATCCCAAATGCCCATTACCAATGGACTGTCCTTCCTTTTGGTCTAAAAGTAGCCCCATCACTTTTCCAAAAGGCCATGGTTCGAATTTTTGAACCCATCCTTCACAGTGCTCTAGTTTACATTGATGACATTCTGCTATTCTCATCCACAGAAGCTGATCACAAGCTTTTGCTTCAAGAATTCCATAATCTTTGTCATAAATATGGAGTGATGCTCTCGTCAAAAAAATCTGAAGTTGGAGTCAAAGAAATAGATTTCCTTGGAATGCATTTCTTTCACGGAAGATATGTTCCTCAACCACACATTGTAGAAAATCTGCCACAATTCCCAGATGAGAATATGACAGCAAAAGAAATCCAACAAATCCTAGGAATTCTGAACTATGTGAGAAATTTCATTCCAAACATAGCACTCTACACCTCCAAACTTTCAAAGATGTTGAAAAAGAACCCTCCTCCATGGGGAACAGAGCAAACCGAAGCAGTAAAAGTTCTAAAAAAGATTTCTCAAGATCCTCCACCATTAAAGATTCCTCGAGAAGGAAAAAGAATATTGCAAACAGATGCTAGTGACCAATTTTGGAGTGCTGTATTGATTGAAGAACTTGCAGACAAAAGATTTTACTGTGGACATGCCAGTGGAGCATTCAAAGAAATAGAATTACATTATCACACGGTGTTCAAGGAAACTTTGGCAGTCAAATATGGAATCCAAAAATTTGACTTCCACCTCAGGGGACATCAATTTGAAGTTCATTTGGACAACTCAGCATTTCCTAAAATGCTTGATTTCAAAAACAAGGTACCACCAAACCCTCAGATACTCCGCTTGAAGGAATGGTTTTCCCGATACGATTTCACAGTCAAACACATAAAAGGAAATACCAACATTGTCCCTGACTATCTGAGTCGACCAAAACCTGCACCTATCCATATCATTTCATCAACCCATTTCTATCCGCTTATTCTCATGCAAAACCCATCTTCATCTTCTAATCCTTGTCCTCAAAACCCATTTCCTCCTGAAATGAGATTTGATTTCATAAAAACTCCTGCAACTTTGCAACAGTTTGCTAGACAGAATATGTTCTCATATCTGGCAAACTCACTACAAAACCATCAGATATCTCCAAAACAAAATTGGTTCAATCCAGACACTCCTTTTCTGAATATCTTTGCTATCCTTATGGGAGAAGAATTCACAGAAAATGATCAATGGTACTTATGGTGTGTCTCAATCTTACACCATTATCCAATTATCTTCCCAACAAAAAAGATGTTAAAAATGCTGAAAGAAGATCGTTCCAGTTTATTAATCAAGTTTTTAAGCTGGTATCAACCAATTTCTCTGTGGATCAAAGATATCAATGAAGAGCTAAACAGGACACAAAGACAAATGACAACATGGAACTCAGAATATTTCATCACAGTGGCTATAATTCACAGGCCATATTTTGCTCATCCAGAATCATATGAACTGTGGACTCAAAATCAAGTCAGAATTTGGTCAACATTTCCAAGATTAAAGATCTTTACTCAACAAGACCAACCTCCGTTCTATCCAAGTGAATTAATCATAGAGTTGCACAGGCTTAATGGAACATTCTCAGAGATGATTAACAAAAATTCCACTTGTTCACATTTAAAGTCGTTGGATATAATTTGCAAACCAGACGGAGACTCTGGACCTTTCCATGATCAAGAAGAAAGAGTGATGCCACTTGTCAATATCCAAGAAAGCAGACAAATGCACATGGAATCGGTAAACATTGAAGGACAAATTATCATGATAAAAGCTGATAATGATGATGAAGACTTCATGATAAACATGGAAGACTTTGATTCAGATGATCCAAATCTGTCACCAAGTCATGAACCCATTTTCAAGTGAGGTGACATAAAACGTGACATAAAGGTGCCGACAAGATATGTTAGGTGGGATATAAAATCTCGACCAGATATAAAGTGAAATAATGTTGTAAGAAAAATCTATGTAAATTATTTAAGATTGTTTGTCTGTATCTGCCTTCCTTCGGTTATAAAAGAGAAGGTACTCAGTTGATGTAAGATATCGAAAAATCAGAAATAAAACTTGAGTGTTTTCCTTACCCATGAGTTTCTAAGTTCTTTAGTTTTCTCTCCTGAAAGTCTTTATTTTTCTATTATACTATTGTTCTTCTAACTCGATGGAGATATATTGGCTGGAAAAGCGGAGAACCTCTGTTGGTTTTATACCTAATTACAGAGCGAGGCCTTCAAGCCTATTCTCTGCAGACTCCCTTCACTGGGACAAAGTCGCAACAAAGCCACGTATCCATATCAGGTGAGATGAAGAATAAAGGAATAGTAAATATTTAGCATAGATAAGTATGCTCTGTACTCGCCTCATATGAGGATCTTGTACATCAGAAAGTTTGTGTGATCCAGATCCATTTTCGGTCTCTGCTATTTTTGATATGATTATTAAACTTAGTAGTTGTGCTTGAGAAAGTAAGTTTGATACTGAAGTCTCGCATGTGAAAGGTTTAATGATTATATTAAGAATATGCAGAGCTCCCGACACAGTGGTATCAGAGCCTAACTGTTGCCTAC